GGAACTTCCGGACATATGGCAATCCTACAGGACCCCGAGGTTGACATCACAACCATGCCTGTTGGAAAAGAAAAACAGAAAGGGGAGGAAGGAGAGAAGTGGAGTGCTGCTTAGAGGGAATGGCTGTCTTGCACCATCCATGAACAGGAAAATACAATCAGCCACTTTGTTAAGTCAATGAACAGTTCTAATAGGACAGGAAACCACAGTTTCAGTCGAATCCTAAATGCACAGAATCAAACTTCTTGATAAATTCTGCTTTAACAAAATCATGATGGAGTTCACCTTGTATTGTTTCTTATGGGATTAGAAAAGGAATTGGAGTCTGTGAATCTTAATGGCCCATATCTACAGATAGTTGTAAGCACTGGCTAACTAGAAATTCGGCAGGTAAAGCTTTCTCCCAGCATGCTGATGCAGTAATTGGGAAAGATTCATCTGCTGATTTTCTGCTTGCCACGCAGTTGTCAGAGGCACAGAAGACCTGCCAGGGAGAAAAAAAGTTGGCAGCCTTACTGAATATTGATTAAAAGCTCAATTGGGCTAGGGATATTTTCCATTAGGAGATGAATGGAGTGGGAATCCCTTGTGCATTAGCAACATTACATTATTCTTAAGGTGCAAAAACAAAGACAGCTCAGGATCTGTTCATCGCAGCTCCTGAGCACCTTTTACAAAAAATTAAGATCACCAAGGACAGCCACGGTGACAAGGCCCAATGGTGTAATACACCATGGTAATTGCTGCAATTTGGCAAGGAAAGCCTCCTTCAGGTGGCTTGGTTCTGATGTTGCAGCACAGAATCCAAGCTCATTGAGAAGAATGAAATTACTCTGGTCCATAGATCTGCATCAAGCCTGCTATGACTTTGGCTTAATCCAAGAATAAAAGGAGGGCTGTCTTTGATCAGTCTCGGGTTTCCACATAGCTGCACAAGCTCTGCTTTAGCTCTCTTAAGAATGTGGTGCGGAGGGTGATGGAGCTTGATTTCTGTTCTTCTAATTAAAAAGGATCATTCTTGAGAAGCTATGAGCCAAATAGTTACTAGTGGTTAAGTTGACAGATAGCAATATAGCTTCCATTAGCAGAAGGGTGGCAGAACAGGTGCCGATTAGTACTGCCAATTAAAATGAAGGCTCTGTTCTTCTGTTGGGGAAGAGCCATAGCTAAACGATAAAGCATCCATCTTGTGTGCAGAAAGTCCCCGGTTCAGTTCTCAGCTTCTCCATGTAGGGCTGAAACTCCCTGTCTGAAACCCCAAAGAGCAGCTACTAATCAATGTAGGCCATACTGAGCTAGATGAACTTTTGATCTGAGACAGCTCCTTGTGTTCCAAAGTGGGAGCAACGCAACAGTCTTTTAGACCCTGGACCTATCAACTGAGTTGAGTAGAGCAAATTCTATTCAGAGTCATACTGCCTTGGACAGTCGAGGTAGAACAGAGCCATCGCATGCATTAATAAACTATTGGACAAAAGTATTTTTATTTTATTTTATATTCTTTATATTTATATATATACATATTTATATATATTAAATTCTTTATTGAAAAATAAAAGGTACAAAACTACAAGTGCACAGAGTAAAATAAGGCTGGATCTAGACACATCAAAGAAGCGTTTCAGTCAAACGTGTTGTAAACTGTGTATGAGAAATCAGGTTGGGCAAAACAGAACTCTGCAGCGCCGTCTGGTGTCACAGTGTTAAAATGCATATAAAGCACTTTTTCTTTGCCAATGTAGCTGAGTCCTAAGACACACACACACACACACACACACACACACACACACACGAAGAAACAAGAAATGGTGCCCATAAATATTGGACAAAACTAATGTTGATGTGATTGCATGCATGATCATGCTAAAATCTTTTATCCCCTTGCAGTGTTTTCATCGATGTGTGTATGCACATCTGCAACACAGAGAGAAGGGAAAAGATGCAAAGGAACTGAAAGCTGCAGCTCTGTATGAAATTCAGAATGATATTTTGTGTGTGTGTGTGTGTGTGTGTGTGATAAAGGAGAAATACTAATGCATTGCTTTCACTTCATAAAAAAAGTTCTGTTAATTGTGAACTCCAAAATCCAAGGACACATTTGAATAAAGAGTATTTCAAAAGCAAAAATATAGTATCTTCCCCACTGTAGTGGGAAGCTGGTTCTTAGATTGCATTTTCCAGTTGCAGGAAAACTCTTGGGTTTGATTCCGTTGCTTTAAAAAAAACATAGAAAACATCACTGAATGTAAGCAGCAATTTTGTTTTAATGAGGATAGGACCAGTAGCGGACAGTGGCCTCCCAACTGCTGAGGTCAGTGTAGTGTGAATGCACTGGCAGGGCCAAACTGGTGTTCCTCTTGGTGTGTTTGCACCATGCTGAGCTTCCTATAATCTCACCCCACCCCCTCCTTCCCAGGAAGCAGCCTCTCCCTACCCCCAACTTGTTACAACTAACTTTCAGTGAGAATATGACTAAATTAAGAGCAGACATAATACCCTGTGGAGAGGTCTTTTGTTTTAAAATGACATTTTCAGATATAGGATATTCCACAAAAGTAGGGTAACAGTTTAGATATAATGGATTGGGGGGGGGGGAGGGAGTTCTGAAATTACTTACTTCAAGCTATGCTAACAAGAAAAAAATTAATATTTCCATTTGCATATTTCTGTTCATGGAAAATTCCATTTTAGGACACCAGTTCCTAGGTTTGGTATTTGTTTAACTAAACATTTCTTTTAGAGGTATTAAAAGGTAAAGGTAAAGGACCCCTGACAGTTAAGTCCAGTCGCAAAGGACTCTGGGGTTGTGGCACTCATCTCGCTTTACTGGCCGAGGGAGCCGGCGTTTGTCCACAGACAATTTTTCCACGTCATGTGGCCAGCATGACTAAGCCGCTTCTGGCGCAATGGAACACCGAAACCAGAGTAGTGCACGGAAATGCCATCTACCTTCCCGCCGGAGCAGTACCTATTTATCTACTCGCACTTTTTGACATGCTTTCGAACGGCTAGGTTGGCAGAGCTGGGACCAAGCAATGGGAGCTCACCCTGTCGCGGGGATTTGAACCACCGACCTTCTGATCGGCAAGCCCAAGAGGCTCAGTGGTTTAGACCACAGTGCCACCTGCATCCCTCTGAGAGGTATTAGCCTTGGCGTTTAGTCAAGTGACAGCAAATATCTGAGGTTTTCTGGTCTCAACAACAAAACCCTGTACATTTGCTGTTGCTGAAAAAGTGTCCCCCTACTCAGTCCAGTAGTTCATCTTGTTCTGTTTTGAAAGTTGGATGGTGGATGGATTTCTACTGTACAAACAACTGTGGCCTGGAAAGGCACTGCTACCTTATATTGGTGCTGCTATGATATGACACGGATTGGTGCACAAATTATTGCAACCCAGCCAGTCTTCCTTTGCTCTTATGTCCCATCAACCTAACTGAGGAAGCAAATCCACACCCTGCCTCCCTTACATAAGACAGGCTGTGATCCTGCAAAAGATGTGGAACTGCTGTCAAGTAGCTAAGCCAATGGCAGAAATGATGTGCAATGTATGTAATGCTTGACTTGATTCCAGTTCTGCACTGCAAATACCACATCATTGTTTGCACAGATTGGTGCCTTGAATGTGTGATGCCAGTTTGCAAAAAGATTGGGGCATTTGTGGAAATCAAGAACTCAAGACCAGACACCCCTATTGCTGCCATAAATGATCCTTCTCCATCAAAAGATGTTGCCATAACAGAAGGCAGCTGCGTGTGTACCCCTCTCTCTCTTAAAATTCAGTAATGGAGCCTTTCTGGAGAAAGCTGTGTTTTGATTAAGGAAAGAAGAGAAGGCAACCAAAGAAGATTGATATAAGAAAGGCTGCAAAGCTTATTTTCTTGCAGTGATATTCATGTCAAAAGCAAAATTAAACTTGAGTAAATGAGCAGAGCTTTGACATTTGTGGATCATGGTGAAGATTACTAAAGACTGAAGTTATCAGTGGGGTGGTATATGCAGCCAGGCGCCTGGATTTCAATAACCTCTTGATTGTCTACTTCATGTAATAATTATAACATTTATTTTTATTTCATATTTTGCTCTGCTTTTCAGACAAAGTTGGCCCCAGAGTGGCCTATGACAATTAAAATGTGGTACATAAATATCCATTATCTTCCTCCTACCCATCCACTCAGCTTCTAAAACCCTGAAACAAATTGACTAAAAGGGGCTTGGGGCTTGGTCAGGCATCCGAACTCAACCCTTCTCCTGCCTCACCCCCACCCCAGTAAAGCACTTAATCACCAAATTGTGCTGGCTGCCGTGTCTGTAATTGCAGTTTGGATGCCTCCTTCCCTTCATAAATCAAAATTTGCTGCACTTCATCATTCGAAAGATGCTGCTGCAGAGACATTGTCAAGGATATTTGTGGTGTTTGGGCAGAAAAGTGGTATTTGTGCAGCATGGCAGCTGCAATCTTAATAATCATCACAATTCTGAAGATCTCAGATGTCGGATGCACACTGGGATAAGATGACAGAAGAGTGCATGGAGAGCTGCTACCAGTTGCAGAGGGTTTTCATTGGAAGTTTTCCATAGTGCCCGACATCAACATGCTCATTACATGTAGTGGCTATGGGAAAGAAAACAAACATACTCTGCTTTGTGTGATTGAGGTAACTTTGCCAGGCACATACATGGGATGCTGCCTTATGATTTCAGACAGGTGACACTCCTAGCCAGTGGTGGAGGAAAAGGGGCCTGGGTGGCGGTCCGCCTCGTGTGCCATCTCTGAGGAAGGTGGCAAGAAGGCAAACCGCCTGGCGGCACATGTGCAGTGCACTATGTATGGTTCATGCGCCACATGTAGCACCACCACACATGTGCCGTATGTAACAGTGCCACGCATGCACCATATGTAGTGGTGCCGTGCATGCACCACCGGGTGGTTTGCACCGCCCCTCAACACCCCGCACCGGGTGCCAGTTAGTCTTCCTTCGCCCCTGCTCCTAGCGCTTCCTGGAGATGCCAGGATTTGAACCTGGGACCTCCTGTGTGCAAGCAAATTCTCTACCGCTGGGCTACGACCCTTGCTATGGTACCGGAGCATCCCACTCTCATGATAGATTTATTGGGAGAGTTTATTTTAACTTAATTTGGATCTCAGAGTCCTGCCTCTGCAACAAGGCCTTTTCTGTGGTGGCTCCCTGTTTGTGAAATGTTTCCCCCAAGGAGGCTTGCCAGGTGCCATCATTATGTATCTTTAGGCTCCAGGTAGAAACTTTCCTCTATAACCAACTCCTTGCCCTTTAACTACCTGTGGCCTTTGGGTGGAATGTTTTTAATGTATTTTACTTTTGTCTTGTTTTTAATGTATCTAGGTGGGGGTTGGCTGAGGGCACGCTGAGTTTGGTGTGGCAGTGCCCACAATTCATCCTAATGTTCTGGCTCTCATTGGCACACATTTTGCCTCTGTTTTCACTTCCAGACAGGGTTCCTTCACACGACACACACAAAATAATTTCGAACGGCATGGCGTCTTTGGGATTAGTGCAATTATTCAAGATTATTTTCATACATCTCATTTGAAACATTATTAAGGTAAATAATACACTATACATGTTCCGTACACTGAAGCAGCTAGCGATTATTTTCTTTCCGGGATAATGACGCCAACCCACAACTCTCTCAGATTCAGTGTTCTTATTACTGCTTTTGCCTTCTTAAGAAAATTGCAGACTCTCCCATGAAAAGTGTCTGCCTAATTTGCACAACAAATTAGACAAATTATAACCCCCTTGTGTATATATTATCTCCACCAATTAACAAAAAAAAGGACAGAGGCTCTTTTTACTGACTTGTATATAATTGCACCATTATGAAGCTTTAAAATATTCCTTATTGTGTCTGGGGGTGGGGGACACACAGACAGAAATGTACAACCTGGTTTGATAAAAACAGTATTAAGTTTTTGACTGTGTGCAGCTCCTAGCTATCATTGATTTGAATGCCTCTCTTTAAGAAACAATTATGCTGAATTTCAAATGCAAGAGTTGGTGTTTCCTTTCATGCCTTTGTGCATCATTCTTAGGAGAGTGAAGGCTCTTGAAAGCTGCTTTACATGCAAATTGATATCCACGCTCAAGTGTCTCATTTTTGTAAGTGTAGTGTAATCACAGAGCTGACCTTTGTTTGTTTATTGATAGTCTGTCTCGTCACACCGGCTCAGGTGGCTAACAAAAGAGCCAGGATTCTATCAAGCAGGGGTAGCTAACCTGTAAGGTTCCATCTTTGTCTTGGTAAAATACAGGACAGGGCGGGGGCAAATTCTTTTTCCTACCTGGTGCTGGAATACATGAGCTTTCACAAACATGCAGTACTGTACGGTACAGTAATGTACAGCAATACATGCAGCCCAAGGCAAAAAATAGATAAGTGGGCATGTTCTGATGAGGGGACGAGCTTTGTTCCACATGTTAAATTTTTGAAGGAAATATTAGGGGGCAGTGAGAGGGCAAGTCTTGTGGGAAGCTATTTCTCCCTCACTCTCCTCCTCTCTCAAATATTAAGCAGATAACTATGTTCAGAACTCGGTCTTCTGGGCTGCACTGACACAAAACTGCTTGTTTCTAGAGACTCAGAGTGTGTTGCTCTCTGAGGGACAAGGCCCATTGCTCCCAGGGTGCAGCTCTGCAGATGGCTGCCTTGACCCAGTCAAAGCTCAGGGAACTGGAAGTGACAACATGGAAGTCTTGCCTTGGTTTGCTCCTTCTAGTGGGAGAGATGAGGAGAGGGAGAGAAGGGGGGGAAGGGAAGGAAAGAAGCGAGAGAGCAGCAGCAGAGGGGAAATAGGGGAAATGCAGGATAAACTGTATCAATACAGGACACAATGGAAAACGAGCGAGGTCCCAACTAAAGAAGCATGGCAACTTAAACTGATGGAATATGCGCAGCTTGCGGACCTAACATATAGAATAAAAGAACAAGAATGTGTTTAAAGAAGACTGGAGAATGTTTATTGAATATATGAGGGGAAATTATGTACACTTTAAAAGGTTGACAGCATTAAGATGAATTCAACAGTATAAATAAGTTTTGATGGATATAATAATGGAATACTGAATGATTTAGTTTATGTAAAATATACAGGGATTTGTGTTATGCAAAATGAACCATGGAAAGAGAAGAAGGGAAGTCACTGATATTTTAAGGTTGTTTAAATGAATACTCTAAACTGTAAAACAGGAATCAATACAGGACATAGCATTTTACATTGTAACAACAATTGTTGTCGTTGTTAATTATATGCTGCCCATCTGACTGGGTTGCCCCAGCCACTCTGGGTGCTTCCAGCAAATTAAAACATCAAAGTAAAACATCAAACACTAAAAACTTCCCCAAACAAGTCTGCCTTCAGATGTCTTCTAAAAGTCCAATAGTTGTTTATTTCCTTGACATCCAATGGGAGGGCTTTCCACAGGGCAGGTGCCACTACCAAGAAGGCCTTCTGCCTGGTTTCCTGTCACCTCACTTCTTGCAATTCACTGAGCTGGATCTCAGGACAATCCTGCATAATACAGGACAGGTGGCAACCCTACTAATCTGTAGCCATCTATCTGTTGCTAGTCTACAACTCGCATCATCCCTGACCACTGGCCATGCTGGCTGGGGCTGATGGGAAATTGGGGTCCAACAACATCTGCAAGAACAAAGATGTTGTCATGGATGCAATGCAGGAGTTACATCTGCAAAACTTTGAGTCAAACCCCTATTCAGCCAAGAAATTCACTGGATGACATTGGACCAGTTATCTCAAACTAACCTGGCTCAGGATTGTTGTACTAGTAAAGGCAGGGAGGAGAAACCATAACACACCACAATATATTCAATAAATATATGAATGAATAAAACAAAACCTTTTTATATTAAAAAATGGCATTTCCATATCCTTTGCCACCTGGTCCCTAAATCACTAGGTAAAGGTAAAGGGACCCCTAACCATTAGGTCCAGTCGCGGACGACTCTGGGGTTGTGGCGCTCATCTCGCTTTATTGGCCGAGGGAGCCAGCGCACAGCTTCCGGGTCATGTGGCCAGCATGACTAAGCCACTTCTGGCGAACCAGAGCAGTGCATGGAAACGCCGTTTACCTTCCCGCCGGAGCGGTACCTATTTATCTACTTGCACTTTGATGTGCTTTTGAACTGCTAGGTTGGCAGGAGCAGGGACCGAGCAATGGGAGCTCACCCTGTCGCAGGGATTCAAACCACCAACCTTCTGATCGGCAAGTCCTAGGCTCTGTGGGTGCACTAGGAACACTGAGTTTCCCAGGGTCCTTGGCTGCAGCAACATGCCAAGGACCATTCCGTAGCGGCAGCCAAAACAGCTGACAGGGTAACAAATAGGTAAAGGCTTTGAGTACTCACAGCGAACTTAGGAGGGCTCATGGGAAGTTCAGGTGGGAAGTTCAGGTGAGAATTCCCTTCACTAAACCCCTCTTTCACGTTGCTTAAGAATAATCCTACACAGTTGAACTTTTTGAGCCCCCCCCCCCAAAAAAAAACTATTGAGAAGCACCCTCAAGGTTGTGTGGGTAGGGGTGGTTTTATTTATTTATTACAAGATAGTTAAAATTTGGGTAAGATTAACATCCCGCAGCTAGTTAAAATGAACATGGTCAAAATGAATCTTTTCTTTTGATGCCATCGCATCAGGTTGTCTTCAAATGACCAAATGTAATGATAAGTAGCCCTGTAGTTGTCTTTATTTTGTTAGCGTTCAGAGAAGTGCAACCCCCCACGTTAGAGGTTTTACACAAGTAGGTCTTCCAAGTTCAGTTTAAATTTCCCCGGAGATGTAGGGGGAAGACCACTCCCCCTGCCCACCCTGAAAGTGCAGATGATATTATCGAAGCAATTTTTCTCTTTCCTTAAAATTCCTGCAGTTGCTTTGTCTTAGCAGTTCAAAACCTTAGGTGCTCTATTTGGCTATGCTTCTTTTAAAATCCATCTATGCCTGGAAGCTCAACTTAGCAATTCTCTCTCATCCTTGCAGCAGCCGCATATGCAAGGATTATGCATGCGGCTCATGCATTCTAATTATCAAAAGTAGATTTAAAAGCATTGGTAAGTGTTTTCACCTGTTTGATGAATGAAGCTGAAGATCAGCCTCACGTTTGTGTGTGTGATTTTTATATTAGTTTAATGGAACCATATCACCACACTCTTTGAGCTGTTTATCCAGAATTTTCTGCAGCTAGTACAAAAACCGTATTTTCACTGTTGCAGACAATGAAGGATGTTTCTGGATGATGCCTGAGCCTAGCTTGGATGCAAACCTAAAGCGTTCAGCAAACCTGACTCAAAATTGTTGGCTATTTACAGTATGGTAGCGCTGCAGAGAGCTTGCTGGGGAGACCATGCATTAAAAAGGGACTCAAAAATAACTTAAACAAGGTTTTAATAACAAAAACAAAAACTCCATTTACACTAAATACATCAACATGACCCAACCACCAACCCATCCCCCAGGGTAATGGGAGAGCTAGGTGCTACACCCAATTGCCAACACAGCTTAATCAATACAACTCAGCAGCACCTGCTATGTTTCACAGCTGTAAAGCTGGGTCTCATTATCTTGCTCTGGCCCTTGCTTTGGCCCCTTAAAGACATACACATCGGGTGAAACAGTGATGAACCTTTACATTTAAAGAAACCATTCAACATTTCCCCTGCGGTTCATCATTGTGGAACAAAAACATAAAGCATATTTTGTACATGTCTTTCATGTGTAACCTTTGGAAGTGCTTTAGTAAAAATGTCTGCAATTTGATTGTCACCTGGAACATGTTGAAATACAATCATTTCATCAGCAATTAGTTTCTTTACAAACCGTAAACGTAATCTTAAGACTCTAGTGCGCTGCGTATTAGTCTCTGAACACAGGATAGTGAGTCCGCTCTGGGAATCAAGGTAAACTTTTACTGGTAGCGTTACTTGCATCTGTAAGTCTGCAAATACTTGCAGATACCATTCCACATCACGAGTGGCCTGAACGCATGCACATAATTCACTCTCTGTTGTGGAGAGAC